AATCAACCTTTCAAACAATTTTTTTTTCAGATAAGTAAAAGACCTAAAAATAAATAAATTATAAAAAGTATTTGTTGTTAGGAGCTCCAGTATTCTGTAGCCAAATGACATTGATAATTCTAATAAACTAAGAGATAAATTATTAGTTTTGTTTGAAAACAATAGCTCCTTTTGGTGACCTTTGAGTTAAACGTACCTATACGTTTGCTTTTTATTTAATAATAATTTAACAATAATTTGTATAATAGATAAGAAAATTATTCAATTGTTGTGTAAACCTAGAAACTTCGTATCATGCACATTATCTTTATAAACAAAAGGTGCATTTATTTTTGGGGTCGCAAATATGTCAATGTAATTTATCAAAGACGTATTAGAAATACGTATTTAATGTATTATGCTTACAAACAATGGCATCAAAGGATGTGACCAGGCATATTTTTATTAATATCAAGTCAGTCACAGCGTCTCAGAAAATCGATTGGTGCACAGCCAGGGGTTGAAGCTGCGACCCCAGGGATGAGAGTCGTACACTGAAGCCACTAGGCCAACACTGCCGTCTCCATACCATGTGATAAATATTTTTATATTAAAACTCGTGTTGGCCTAATGATTTGAGCGAACCTGAACCCCGGCCGTGCCAAAGAACTTTTCTATGTGCGCATTTAACACTTGCTCGTACGCTAAACGTTGTGAGGAACGAATTTAGGTCCATAGAGTCGATGGTGTGTCGGGCAAAGAAGGCCGAAGACCTGCTTACTTATTAAAAAATGCACATATAGCTAATACAGAACTCAGCGCCATAACCAACGGTTGTAGCGCCACTGGGGTTTTTAAACTTTAGTTGTTGTTATATTTTTGAACGAAGCCCAAAATAAGATGTTGACGGTGTTAACGTCCCTTTGCCTTGGATGACCTAAACTTGTTCTGCGCCTGCTACGGACATTCGCCCCATCGAAGCAACCGACTTATATATAATAGTGTTCTGGTGTCCCTGCGCACAACCTTTAATATTATCTTCTACGTACAATAATAATAATAATACTCGTAATGAAGCCCGTTTATTTCTAACCCCTACAAATGCTAACAATATACAGTTTAAATTTGTTATATATACATTGTTTTTCTTGTAACTCGTTATCTTAACTTCCTTTAGTACCATTTATCGGATCCCCTTCACGGGTAAAGGCCTCTTCCAGCTTTTTACAAATTTCTCTATCCGTGACATTCTTTCTCTATTTGCTTCCTGCCAATATCTTCTACCTTTTTCTAATGCATACAATAGAGCGTTAAAATATAGCAGATTACGTAATTCATCTTTAAAAACACAAACAAAAAGAGACAAAAATATAGACAACTTTCACTGATTGCTTTTACGAGAAATCTTGTGTAGTATATTTACAGTTTTATAATAAGAATGAACAAAGCAGGTTGAATGTCAGTGAAAAAGTATTCGTACTAGCCGCTTACGATAAAAAATATTCCAAACAACCACAGATAATTATTAATATATCGCAAGACCCATGGTTAATGTACAAAGGTACATATTAATTTGTACCATAACACGAAAATCATTAATATGATCAGGATAATTGAAAATCATTTCAATAAACCTAACATATTTATTTACAAGCCATTTATGTTAAGTCAGAAAAGTGGTCTAAAACTATTGTCTATTATATTACAAAAATATGAATACACGATATATTAATTACTATAGGTATTTATATAATATCTAGCGTTTACAATAGGTAAAGGTTTCCTAAAATGCTTAACAATTATCTAGAGGACGTTGCCAATAATATAATAGTTTGCTGGACGCACATAGGCCATTACGTGAGTGTCGAGGCTATTCAACTCCTTGACACCACGGGCCAAGTGAGAAGACTGAAAAGAACAAAACCATTTGACCTAGTGTAATTCACTAGTGTTTGTGCACATTAAGTGCTAAACAGTGAGCGAAAAAATAGAACACAAGAACGGAGTGTCTTCCCTTTAATTTAAATTTAATTAAATTAGGTAAGTATATTTTTATTATTTACCCTAATTAGGTTAGACTTAAAATAGTTATTAGTTTTAAGTTAGGCTAGATCGTAATGTTCCATTATGTCTTAGTAAAGACACACGTAGATAAATAAAATATATCTTAATAGATTATATTTTCAAATAAATTTAATATTGCACCAACAATTTATATATCCATGAAATTAAATCGCATCTCAATGAATGGTATTAACAACAAGTTAAGGCTCAGTAATCGTGTTGCAATAGACAAATGAAAGGCTTAACATTTACAGTGTATTGTTACTAGTTTAGTATTACTTTGTTAGTCTAGTGTGCATTTATCTAACATAAACTAGTTCCAGGATTATTAATCTTATATGTAAACGATGTTAAATATATAATTTTAAGCCGCCTAAATTCTGTTACACAATAAAGTATTTTTCTCTTTAATTATTAAAACATTGTGTTTTAATTTTTAAGCACGAATTTATGACGAAAACCACAAAAATTGCATTACTATTCTCATCACGTTTTACTAATTACAGACTAACAATTTTAACTCTAAAAATTTATAAACACACTTAGTATCTATGGAAAATTTATGGATGGTTGTTTGCAACTATTTTCCATAAAATATTGGATTAGACAATACATTACATTACACATGACAATATTATATGATGACAATTATATTTGTAAATAAAAATTAAGTATAAGTAATAAGAACTGATAACCGAAAAGACAGAAAAAATTCTACTTGAATCATTGAACTGGTAGTAGGACGTTTTATTCCTTAAGATTTTGGTAAAACGTGAAATATGATGTGAAAATTCTAAAAACGTTTCCTTTATTTCGCGCGATTTTTAGTAGGTACGTCAATCTTAATAATAGATTATAAACAGGCTTATTGCGTCATGTAAGACAATTTCACAACAGGGAATTTACCTAAACCAAATACAACAAACATTTATAATGAGAACAAAAACATGTATAATCTACGTACAATACCATTATTTCATATTTCGACTATTAAAAAACAGTTCAAATGGTAACGGTCTCATAACCTTTTATCTAGAAGTTACAAATGCTAAATTATATTAGACAATATTTTTCGAAAACCTACGTTACATTAGTATTTAATGTGATATTATTGTATTAACGAGAGTGTAGAAAATATATTTTGAGGATTAGAACTCATTACTTTTGGAAAAATATTCTCGTGATATCAAGTACATAATTAAACTAGCCGTTCTTGTCAACAAATCACTTGTAAACAAATCACGTGGTTGATGGCCAAATTATCTTCCGTGGTACTGGTTACAGTATGCGTTGACTGTTTATGTAGACGCGCTGTTTAATTCGCGCGCTCCATCAACACTATTGCTTGTTATATTGATTTATTAATTTACACACAGTCTGAATTCACAAGGCTCATATTATTCATAATCTGTGGTTGTAGGTTTAAGGTAATATTTTTTATTTCGTAATCTAACAGCTATCTTAAATTATATATCTATATCAAAAACAATTTTAATAAAGATACAAAATCCCTATATGTACTTCTTTTGGCGCGTTAGGGAAAAATGATAAAAGTAAATTTTTATGATTCGCGCGCTCATCGTCACAAAAAGCCGACACCCTGAAGTTAGCTATAGTCAACATTTTAGTTTTTTTCTATTGTTAGGTTTACAAACGTAGAATTAAAATTTTGAAAAGATTTTTTTCTTGTTACTCCAAAAAAGTATAGCTTTTAACGCGTACATAACACATAAACATACACACTTTTTTTTTTTTTTGTGATATTATGTTCTTAGTTTAAATTTGTATTCATAAGTTTTCTATTATATTAGTATTAAGTTACTGTAAGAAAATAAGGATATTATGCATTATTTTTATTTATAATAACAAATCTATAAAGTTGGCCAGAGTTGATTTATGAAGTAGGTACATGGGCGTGTTTTTCTCACACACTTCCTTCACAATTAGATAATTTCGCGGGTTCTATAGTATTTAGAAACTTGTTTACTCGAAATACAATTACAACAATAAAAAAACTCGTATCGGTTATTAAAACAAATATTTTAGATATTTTTTTACATAACGGGGCAAAAGGAGGCTCATCTGATGTTAAGCGGCCCATAACCCACTCACATTACCAGAGGTCTCGCAAGTGCGTTGCCGGCGTTTAAGAATTGGTACGCTCTGTTCTATAATAATCAACAAAGATGGTTTATAATCATCCACATCTGGTACAGATACCGGCAAACATCTTGAACAAATGTCCTTGCCTACGCAGAAGCGATTTTTAGGTATCACTGGGACAGTGACGTGTCGATCGCGTGATTAGTAGGTAAATCAGTTGACGTTTGCGTCCCGCGCTGCGGTACGATGCGCAAACTTTCCCCCACTCCCTTGTTTAATGCTCAAGAAGTTTGCCGGTATCTGTAATCACGTGGTCGCAGTTATCATTTGCGTCAAGTCATATGCCAAAGAAAACACGTGAAAGGATCTTCCCGCGTGATCGATAGTTTCAGAGCAAAGCCAATCGGCATGGTGGGCGTTAAAATCGCCAAGTATCACGATTTCAGCGGCCAGTAGCCTTTCCGGCAGGGAATCTGTAGCTAATATAATATTTAGTCGTTAGAGAGTTCCTCGCGTTATTGTATACGCGTAAATCAAAACCATTAAAAACATATTTTAACACAACTATAGCCCTGTCCACATTCCCGGCAAAACTACACGAAACTTGCCTCTATATTCGTGTTATCTCGTGTATAGGTACATCTACAGCAGCAGCAGATATTCTTGTGCCGACCATCTCGTGTGAGCGTCTATTTTCAACTGAACAAACCGGGAATGTAGAGAGCCGCTCTCGTGTGCTCTTGAAAATGCTTGTATTCTACAAAAGTTGTGCCTCTCGGTAACCACCGGGAATGTGGAGCACCCTTTATGCCTTACTATTAATTCTAAAAACATCTCTCTATATAGGTACCAAAATGGGCGATGGACTAGAATCTGGAGCAGGTCTAGCCTGGAGGTTGTTAGCGACACTAGAAGGCGGTTCCCTGTTTCTGGCAACATCAGCACTGATAGCCTACACAGCGAGAGCGAGGGTAAAAAAACATAAGCGACGACGCAATGTCAACAGTGTTCTGGTAAATAAACACATTCATTTCTCTTTATAAAAATGCCGCTGAGACTATAATGCGGGCAATGATGTAGCTATAATCAAAGACAAAGTAACTTTGATAGTTCTTTTACTGTCTTATAATTCATATACAATACACTAATACTCGTATGCACTCACACATGCACTCACGCGGGTTACGCGTCGCGTTTGTTGTATAAAAATAAGATTATTTTTTTCAAAATTGTAATTTAATAGAAAATACATATAAAGGATTCCCAAATCTTACACATTGTAATTCATATCTATATTGATTAAACACATTTTAGTTTCTATATATTTTTCTCTGATGCAGATTTTTGCTAACAACTACTTAATAATGTAACTGTATATAGACAATTGGTGTTTGCCTAGTGGTTTTGTGCGACTCTCATGAGGTCGTAGGTTTGATCAGTGTATCAATGGATTTTCGATGTTCACATTTAACACTCGTTAATGCGAATGCGAAAAGGAAAACATCGTGAGGAAACCGCCATGCTTTATACCCAAATGACAGCATGTTCACATGCCAGGCACAGAAGTCTGCCTATCAGAAAAAAACAAATTATAACGAAACAGATACAGAAATTTGAGCTCTAGACGTAAAAGATTGTAGGTTAAGTTAGCAAAAAATTACATAATTTCGTTTAGAAAGTGTAGAATCAGCGAAAATTTGCATGTAGGTAATAAAAATTATTTAACAATATATAAAGAAATAAAAGTAATTAAGAATAAACTTTTATTTTTTAAACTATTTTTTTCTAAATTTAAAAATTAGTTGAACGTTTAGACGTTGATAACTTTAAAATTATTATTATTACAGTACTAGGTAGAAAGGACTTAGTGTTTTACTCCCATGATCTTGCGTATTTAAATACGCATTTGAATTATCATATTTCAGATAACAAACACAGCAAATTCTCTAGGCAGAGAAGTGAAACGAAGATTAGAAGATTGCGGCTGTGTGGTACACACATACGAGTCGAGCGGCGCGAACATTCCCGCTAAAGTCGACGCTTTGCTTGTCATCGGCGCTGAAACACGTCCCGGCTTGGATGGCATAGTCGAACTTGTTTCTACTGATGTCTATGATAATTTGAAGGTACCTATTATAAGTTTGTATATTATATCTATTTCAATTTATGGTACGATTGAAATATTACTTTTTAATTAATAACTCTTATGTAGTTCTGTAATGTGTTTGAATACATTGTCTTTATCTTGCGAAAGATTCAGGAAAATCAAATGAACAGCTATGTGAATTGCTGTAGGTACTTAAATTTAACACATTTACTTTGTGAACCTTTGCTTTTCTGCCCATTCAAAAATACAGGAAAAGTCTGTTTTTTTAATAGACGTTAAATTTAATACTTATATGTTTATTGGCATACAAGTTGTGGATTTTTGTGTCCATGGCGCGATTTGTTACACGTGTGAAGAGAGAAACTCTCAACAAGAGTTCAAACACACAGACACATACAGAACTAGTTTAAGTAAACAAAGTCCATTTTTAGAGGAGATTTGACATTCCCATGTAGGTTAGCGTCTCCAGACTCTGATTGTTGGTATGTTGTGCTGATGTTGGTATACCTATGTAGGTGATTGATTAACGTGTCGTAATGAAACAGTGATGTGCTCTGACAAGAACACATCAGAATAGATACGGTCGTGTGTTCTGAAAAGAACAGTTTCATCGTGTCGTAGGACACGGTAATATGTCCTGACAAGGACAGTTGTTAAACGTTTTGTCGTGAAACAAGAATAATATGTCCTGAAAAGGACAGTTGTTAGACGTTTAGTCGTGATACGATAATTTGTCCTGAAAAGGACAGTTATTAGCGTTATCGCAAGGTTACGATATCGAAGTGTTCTGAGAAGAACACGTTCGTACGCTTCGACGGCTGCGTGCAGAAAAAGGCCAACTTTTTTTTTTTTTTTTTTTTTTTTTTGAAAGGAATCTCGCTGTTGGCCTTTAGGGCCTTGACAGCTCAGCTCGGGCTGTTTTGGCGAGCGTAGCTCGACCAGAATGAGCGTTTTTCCCGCGACTAGCGCAAGGGCGTCTCCTGTGAGACTCGAACCTCGGCTTGGGCCGTCACGGGGTGGTCAATCGCCTGAAGGGCAGGACGGAAACTCACTGGAGTGAGCGAAGTGCGAAATAAAGGTCCTCGCCTTCCCCGGTGAAGGCGGTTTTTAACCCTAATCTGTGTCTGAATACTTTGATTGTTATTATTTGCCGCGCGGGCGGCTTTTAATTTATTGTTTGCTACAGTAATTGGATCATCCGGATCCGTTAGTGTGTGTCGGGGCCTCCTATGACATTTTTTAGCCGGCGGGAAAGGATAATAGTTGATGCTTTTACGCACCAAAGGGTTGGGATGGTGTTTAGCCTTGTCGAAGTGGCGTGCGGACGCCAACTTCATCCATTGGGCTATGGTAGGGAGCTCCAGGTCGTGGTGGAGATCGACGTTTCTCACATAGAGGGGCGCCCCGGTCGCAACTCTCATGAATCGCATCTGAAGCGCCTGTAGCCGGTGGATGTAGGAGGGGGCACAGTGCGCAAATACTACGCTAGCGTATGTCATGCACGGTCGGATGCAGGCCTTGTACAAAGTCACCTTATGTCTAAGGGACATGTTACTCCTTTTGTTTAGGAGGAAATAGAGGCGAGAGAGGACGAAAGAGGCCTTCTTGCGAACGGCGGCTACATGCTTACGGAAAGACATGTCGCTATCGAGCGTTACTCCTAGATATTTGACGGATTTTTGCCACGGGATGGCTTGCCCGTATAGGGTTACCTCTTTTTGAGGCGGGATTTTTCCCGAGAAAGAGCGTTCGCACCGGGGTTACCCCTGGCAAAGAGAACTGCGACGCTTTTCTCGGGATTTATTTGGAGGCCCCATTTCCGAAACCATTCGCCTAGCGACGTGATAGCGGTCTGGAGTCTATCCACGATGACACCTCTGTCCTTGTGAGTGGTATAGAGAGCGGTGTCATCAGCATAGAGGGCTAGTTCCACGTTAGGAGCCCTAGGAATGTCGCCTGTAAACAGCGTGAAAAGAAGGGGCGAGAGGACCGAGCCTTGAGGGACTCCGGCCATGATGGGTCTAGGGGACGATAACGTCCCTTCAACACGATAGCGCATAGAGCGGTCGGACAAGAAGTCGTGTACTATACGCACGAGTCTTAATGGCACTTGAAGGTGGTAGAGCTTGTAAACCAAGCCGTTGTGCCAGACCTTGTCGAAAGCCTTCGCTATGTCTAAGAAGAGCGCACCCGTGGCTCTTGGTCTCGTGGTGCTGTTATTCAGCCCGGAAAGGATGTGCTCCGTGATTCGATGGACTTGGTGGACGCACGAGTGGCCTGGTCTAAAGCCAAACTGCTCATCGGGAATGAGCCCCTTTTCTAGGGCAAAGTCTAGGAGGCGCTTTTTAACTACCTTCTCGAATAGCTTGCTTAGCGTGTTGAGAAGGCTGATAGGGCGGTAACTGGTGGGATTGTTACGGGGCTTGCCTGGTTTGTGAATACCAATTACAATAGCCTCTTTCCACTGCGCCGGGAAGGTGCAGTTTTCGAGAAGGCAATTGAATATGGCCACTAGTAAGCATATCAGATGGGGCGGGAGGCATCGTAAGACCTTGTTTGAGATGGCGTCGAGACCTGGTGATTTACGAGGCAGTGAACCCTTGATTAGAGTTTTGACCTCGGCGATCGACGTAGGAGGGAGCGGCTCGGGAGGGAGGGGCAGTGCGACTATGCGTTGGACTTCGCGGTTCACGTGCTCAACGTGCGCCGGGTCGCTATGGTCGAGATAAGGCGTGCACTGCTCTACTAGGTTTACGGCTAAGCACTCGGCTTTTTCGTCGTCATCGAATGCGTCAGGTTGATTTGGACGTTTTAGCGGGGGCATGGAGGCCACCGTGTCGGTTTTTAGGGAACGCGCGAGAGACCAATAGGCCGTGTGCGAAGGTGACAATTCGCTGGTAAGACGGTCCCAGCGTTCGTTTCTAATTTCCCGTATGCGCTCTTTAACTCGGCGCTGCGCGGCGCGGAGTGCTCTACGGTTATCATCGGTCGGTGCCCTAGCGAAGGCGCGAGTCGCCGCGTTCTTCTCGGTCAGTAAGCGCCTTGCGTCCGGGGGAAGCTCCCAACGTTGAGCGAACTCATCTGGGACCTTCCGGGACGATTCGGCGACCTTGGTCTGAATGTGATATGTGACCGAGGAGAGCGCGTCTAACGCGTGAGCGGACGAGACTAAATTGTCGGGGATGTTATTAAGGTCAGAGACTTCGACGGGCTTGAGGGCCTCGTCTAGTTTCTGCCAGTCGACAATGGACTTGTACCTCTTCTCTTGGGTGTTAGGAGGGCCGAATTCAAAATGAACCGGGAAGTGGTCAGAGTCTAATTCGTGTAGCACCTCTATGCTTCGCGGCTGTAGTGCCACGTTGCGTAGAATCGCCACGTCTAGAACGTCCGTTGAGAGAAGACCGTTACAATTTATACCGCGACGAGTCGGATGAATGGGGGCAATGACATTAAAATCGAGTACGTCAATAAGCCTGCTGAGGGCTCGCCCATTAGGGTTTTGTTTTGAGCTATTCCAGTCCCCGTGTTTGCTATTCAGGTCCCCGGCCAGTAAGACCGAGGGGCCCAGTGCAAACAGGGTCCTAAGATCGCTCTCTAATATGTCCTTAGTGGGAGGGAGGTACACCGATGCGATGATAATCGGCTGATGACCGGTCATAGCCACGCGTAACACAGAGCACTCTATGTTGATTAGGGAGGGCGGGTCTAGCGGCGAGCAGTGAAGCGCACGTCTATAATAAATGAGCGTACCGCCTTTCGCCGTAGGTCGGTCGTTTCGCACCGCGACGTAGTTCGCGAATCTAGGTGCGCGAACGCTGGGCTTTAGGAACGTTTCCTGTACTAGGAAAATATCAATTGGGTGGCGAACGAGGAAATCCCGAATTAAATCTGACTGTGGCTTGAAACCGTTCGCGTTGAAAGTCACTACGGACAGTGATCGAGCCTTGACCCTAGACGTGGTCGTAGCTATTGCGGTGCGTTAGAGTTTACGAATTGCCGCACGGATTTAAGGAGCAGGGCGTGCTCGGTTATTACCTCCACCTTGGTGGACGCAGTTTTAGCGGATTTAAAGGCTTCCGCGAATGCGACGAGTGCGTCCAAGTCTATAGCGTCTATTACGCTAATCGCGAGATTAAAGGCGTCGCGGACGTTGCCTGATTCCTCAGATGCCTTCACGGGAGGGCTGAGGGCTTTGGTAGGAGGGCTCGCATTTGATGTGGGCCTCTCTTTTAAGATAGGGGTTGACGCAGGGACCTGGGAAGGCGCTGCGGTTGCGGGTTTAGATGGCAGAGGCGGGAAAGCTTCTGTCGTGAGTTGGGGAGGGCCCTCCGTAACGGGGGGCTTGGCCCAGGGACTGATTTCGGGAGGCGGGGCCGGCACGTATGTGGGCTTTGCTCCCGTGCCACGACGGGCCGCATCGCGTCCCACCATGCGCCTAGCCGGCGGCTTTTGCGCCTTTGGGGCTCTAGGACAACCGCGATAATTCGCAGGGTGTCCATGTTGCCCGCAAAGCACACATGCCGGCGGCTCGGCACATGGAAGAGTGCGCTTGCAGTCCGATGTGCCATGGTCGCCTAAACACTTGACGCACCGCGCCCTAGCAAAACAGTTACGGGCTGCGTGCCCGTAGAGTTGGCAGCGATGACACTGCCGTGTGAAGGAATGTTTGAGGGGAGTTTCAACCCTCAACCCCGAGAGCTTACAACACTCCCTAAGGTTAAAAATCTTTTTCCCGCTCGGAGTAGGGTCTAGGACTACTAGTACCATATCGTACTCTTCTTTGGTGGTGCGGTTTAACATACGGAATACATCCCTTACGGGGTATCCCTGTTCGGTCAAATCTAATTGGACGATCCCGGAGTCTATTTCCTTCGGGATGCCCTTAATGACTACCCTAAGGACGCGTTCCTCGGGCAGGGGGAAAGTATGACCACCGATACCTTCGGAGCGAAGGTAAGAGGTAAGGAACCGGTGGTGCTCAGGTGAGGACACCTGTATGCAAATGTTATCCCTCAACGT